GCATTCTTTGTAAGTGGGCAAACCTGCAAAATCAGCAAGGGGTCAAATACGTCCAGTTTAAGTCCAGTTTAGCATTCTCATGTTGATAAGCCCCTAAGTCAGGCAGCAAATATTCACAACGTTTGAGCTCTTTATGGTTCACAGATATGATCTTATTTTCACAAACACTGTGGAACCGCGGTAGAAATGCAGTTTGAGGGAAAACGGATCTCATTCCTGGCATGGAGGACCCCACAAACATATAGCTGCACTCAGTCAAATCCTCACACACAACCCCAGATCTGATTTCTGGGCCGAGGCTCGGAGTATCAAACGTTAGAGGATGAACCACCTTATCTGAGCCCAGATTTATCACAGGCCGGTTTGAGCTTCGTCATTTTCCCCCCCCCCGATACCTGGGGCCTGGAGATTTGCATTTTGTGGTCTGGATTACTGGCACACTGACAGAAAAACGAGTGTAGAAGTTTTGTAAAAGTCAATTTGCTCCCATCTCACGCTCCCAGACATGTCACACTGAGAGGTTTTCATGTTTTCTGCTCGTTTCTGTGTGAATCCGTCACTGAAATTAGGGCTTTTACGAGGCTAACATCCAAAAAAACTGTAATTAGGGTTGTCAAAAGTATCGATACTCGAAAAAGTATCGATTCTAAAATGTTGTATCCGGATACGATACTCATTTTCAAAAGTATCGATACCAACGATTTATTTATGTATTTATTTACGTTGTTTATGATCATTAAAAAGATGTTAGCCTTGCTAGCTGCGGCTAATGGCTAATAATAACATGCTACCCTTAATCAAGTACATATCCAACTCCGCCCACATCCAAGTCGGCCATTTTGATTAGGTCACCAATAGGAAAATCCCAGGCAAGCAAATCCTAATTGCTTCATGGCAATATAGACGTTAATGTAAAAAGTAGTTAAATGAATCTTTCAAAAAATTCATTAAACTCTATCCATAATATTATGTTAAAATAGTGTATATTAAATATGCTTGTACAGTAAGTCCAAACAAGTTTAACCAAAATATATTTATTTCTCACAATTATGAAGGGTTAGGGTTAAGATTAGGGTCATTAATGTGGGCCATCAGTCACCATAACATCAGTAACAGGTCAGTTTGAAATGAAAGACACAATTCAGTTAAATTTTGGGGTCTTTGTTTTTATCTTTGTGGTATCGAAAATGGTATCGAGTATCGAGTATTTTCCTGAGTATCGGTATCCAGTTGAAAATTTTAGTATCGTGACAACCCTAACTGTAATAACTCGCTTTGCTAAGCTTTACCTGCTTTAGTTTATTGTTACGTTTACTTACGGGCTCCACAAACTCAAACTTCTTCTTTTCTTGCACTTCTTGTATTTTGAAAACGTACTCAAGGGAGGCGTCGTAAAAGAGTTGTCTCTCCTTGTCAATCTGCGTGTCGGCCTGTAGGTGGAAACACAAACATAACCCGGGTTAGAACCATTACAAACACAACCAGGGTTAAACACAAACCCGGGTTAGAGCCATTACAAACACAACCCGGGTTAGAGCCATTACAAACACAACCCGGGTTAGAGCATTTACAAACACAACCCGGGTTAGAACCGTTACAAAAACACAGACCCGGGTTAGAGCCATTACAAACACAACCCGGGTTAGAGCCGTTACAAACACAAACCTGGGTTAGAGCCATTACAAACACAACCCGGGTTAGAACCGTTACAAACACAACCCGGGTTAAACACAAACCCGGGTTAGAGCCAATACAAACACAACCCGGGTTAGAGCCATTACAAACACAACCCGGGTTAAACACATACCCGGGTTAGAGCCTTTACAGACACAACCCGGGTTAGAGCCATTACAAACACAAAAACCCGGGTTAGAGCCAATACAAACACAACCCGGGTAAGAACCGTTAGAAAACACAACCCCGGTATAGAGCCATTACAAACACAACCCGGGTTAGAGCCATTACAAACACAACCCGGGTTAAACACAAACCCGGGTTAGAGCCATTACAAACACAACCCGGGTTAAAACCAAGGATCAAAGACCAGAACAACTTCGTTTTCCTGAAGACTTCCAGCATCACACAAATCCACAGAAATGAGGAGGAAACTTGCTTTGGCTTCTTACCTCCAGCAGATATCCCTCCTTCTTTTTGGACGACAGGTTGAGGTGTTTCTCCAGGGCCGAGTAGTATTTCTCCGTCTCCTTATCGAACTTCTTCTTCCCGTCCTAAAAAAACACATTTAAAGGCTCAGAAACGAGTGGAAACTGGGTCTCCTATTCCCGATTAAAGGAAGAGGCTGAGTCTCCACTAGGTGGAGGTCTAACTACATTTAGAGTCCCGTTTGTTACTTGTTATTTAAAATTCTGTCAATAGATCACGGTGGGTCATGAAAGTGGTATTAGACACGTGTAATGACAAGCCAGCTCCGTTGGCACGGCGACGCGTTACCAGCAGGGCACCGGTGGAATATGCACAGCTATTTTCACGGTGCCCCAGCTAGGAGGCCGCCGGTTCAAAGGAGAAATATGTAACACTGTAAATCACAAAAAGCATAATGCATCTGGCACAGTCCCAGGCAGGAGCATTCTCCGTTCTCGATATGCTCCAGAATCCACCTGCAGGGATAAGTCCCGCTCAACAGAAAAGGGATTCAGAAGACGCTGAAAAAAAGGCACAGGAAATGGGCTTTCCATGCCCGATTCCCATCTACAGCGGGGGAAATAAGGATTTGTCCCCTTGCTGATTTTCAGGTTTACAAAGAATGCAACGATCTATAACTTTAATCATATGTACATTCTA